AACATTTAGCATTTAACATTTAGCATTTAGATTTAGCATTTAGATTTAACATTTAGCATTTAGATTTAGCATTTAACATTTACATTTAGCATTTAGCATTAACATTTAGATTTAACATTCAGCATTTAAATTTAACATTTAGCATTTAGATTTAGCACTTACATTTAACATTTAGCATTTAACATTTAGCATTTAGATTTAGCATTTAGAATTTAGATTTAGCATTTAACATTTACATTTAGCATTTAGCATTAACATTTAGATTTAACATTCAGCATTTAAATTTAACATTTAGCATTTAGATTTAGCACTTACATTTAACATTTAGCATTTAACATTTAGCATTTAGATTTAGCATTTAGAATTTAGATTTAGCATTTACATTTGCTACACTCATTTTCTGCAGAAAAGTCTAAATGCTAAATGACTGCAGAAAGTCATTTAGCATTTATATTTAGCATTTATATTTAACATTTAGCATTAACATTTAGCATTTAGATTTAACATTCAGCATTTAAATTTTACCTTTAGCATTTAGATTTAGCACTTACATTTAACATTTATCATTTATATTTAACATTTATCATTTATATTTAACAGTTAGCATTTATATTTAACATTTATCATTTATATTTAACAGTTAGCATTTCGATTTAGGATTTAGATTTAATATTTAGCATTTTTCATTTAACATTTAGGATTTAAATTTAACATTTATTATTTAGATTTACTATTTTTAAGCTAAATGTGACTAAATTTAGGTGGTATTTAAGTTGCTTTACAAACGGCACCCCACAGTTTGGTTCATATTGATGCTACAAGGCGTGGCTAACATTTAATTTATATCAAAGTGTAATTAGCTGCTCTATAAACTCCATCAGGGCTCGGGATGTCGGACGGCGCTGCATCGCTGTGCCACGGTGGGGAACAGTAGGACCATGGCTGCTCTGATAGATGGAGGCTGTGCCCTGGACCTGCAGGACCAGGTGAGTCAGGAACTGGGCTGTTTCATCCTCAGGTGAAAAACCAGTTTGACTTGGTGCTGTGTTTGTGTTTGAGGACGGAAACACTGCGCTCCATGAAGCGTCTTGGCACGGTTTCTCTCAGTGCGTTAAACTGCTCATCAGGGCCGGAGCCGGCGTTCACATTAAGAACAAGGTAACAGTTTTAAAAGTGCAGCCCAGACAAAAGGACCAGAGGACAACTGGACAGGAAGAAAACCCATGCAGGCATGGAGAGAACACGCTAACTCCACACAGATGAGTTCTTCTAAATGTAGATTATTCCTACGTGGAATTTCTGCTGGGATTCCTTCCAGAATCTGTCATTTGGCAGAAGTTTCAGGTCCTCTAAACCAGTGATTCACACATTTTTCAGCCTCAAAACCACAAAATAATTAGTTTCAGAGACTTTGATCTTGGCTCTTGTTGGCTGAAGAACAAGCATCACTAATAAACTAAATTACAACACAAACAGCCTCGATAAGAGGTAAACTTTTCTGCTTCTCTTTTAGTAATTATGGCAAAAATAATGCAATTTGCAATTTGTTTGATTTAATAAGATTTTTGAAGACGAGGTGTTTGTTGACCCACATTAACCTCAGCTTTGTAAAAACAGAAATCTGCCTCAGAGTCCAGAAAAAAAACAGTTTGACTTTTCCTAACAGGAGCGACTTGTGAAGGTGTCACACTGCTCTGTTAAAAGGATTTATTTTATAAAAGACAGGCTCTGCCTCCACCAGCAGCCTATTTAATTTCTACCTTAGAAATGTTTGCGTGACTCGGAGCATTAAACTCTGAAACCTGATTGCAGTTTAAGTGGTTTCACGGTGAACTCTAAATAAAAGCCGTCTGGTCAGAAGWATATCTGACACAGAGGTAAACAAGCTTCTAACAGAACAAACAAACATTATTTATATAAATCCAACAATCACCTCGAGGTTAACCGCCACATCACTGTAAAAATAAATCCAACARTCTTGTTTCTTCCTGCAAAACTTCTCAAACTCAGCCTCGGCTCTCTTTGCACTTTCAGGTGGGAAACACAGCTCTTCACCTGGCGTGTCAGAACGGACACGCTCAGACGGCTCAGCTCCTGCTGATGGCAGGGTCGAACCCCGACACCAAGAACAAGGTGAGGAAAAAAGATCTCCTTTAAACTGAGCTGGAAGGATAAAGGTCAGTAAAATCTGGCTTCTTGCAGTTGGGCGACACCTGCGCACACCTGGCTGCTCGCTACAACAACCTGAGTCTGCTGAAGATCCTGCTGAGGTCCACGTGCAGCGTGTCAGAGACAAACAAGGTGAGACATAAGACAAACCTGATAAGAGACATGAGAAGACCCAGGTGAGAGAAATTAGACTAACCAGGTAAAATATAAACCAAACCAGGTGAGAGAAGTAAGACGAACCAGGTGAGAGAAGTAAGACAAACCAGGTGAGAGAAGTAAGACAAACCAGGTGAGAGAAATAAGACAAACCAGGTGAGAGAAGTAAGATGAACCAGGCGAGAGAAGTAAGACAAACCAGGTGAGAGAAGTAAGACAAACCAGGTGAGAGAAGTAAGACAAACCAGGTGAGAGAAGTAAGATGAACCAGGTGAGAAAAGTGAGGCAAACTAGTTGAGAGAAGACTAACTAGGTGAGAGAAGTAAGACAAACCAGGTGAGAGAAGTAAGACAAACCAGGTGAGAGAAATAAGACAAACCAGTTGAGAGAAGTAAGACGAACCAGGTGAGAGAAGTAAGATGAACCAGGCGAGAGAAATAAGATGAACCAGGTGAGAGAAGTAAGATGAACCAGGTGAGAGAAGTAAGATGAACCAGGCGAGAGAAGTAAGACAAACCAGGTGAGAGAAGTAAGACGAACCAGGTGAGAGAAGTAAGACAAACCAGGTGAGAGAAATAAGATGAACCAGGTGAGAGAAGTAAGATGAACCAGGTGAGAGAAGTAAGATGAACCAGGCGAGAGAAGTAAGACAAACC